GGCTCCAACGTGAAGGGCCCGCTCAGTGCCCAGCCCACCCTGGTAATCGCTAATGTGAAACCTGAGATGTTGACACAGACCTGGGCAGAGAACTGGGAACAGCACTCCATTTCCAGATGTCAAGGGTTTCCGGACTCAAAAACAGTGATTTGACTCAGCGCAAAGCCGTGGGCCGGTACAGGTGCCTTCCTCTGCCCCCGACCTGCCAGGGGCAGCTCAGGCCTGCTGAGCTGACTCAGGTGAAGGACACCGAGCTGCCAACTCTCAGGGCGACCTGGCTTCCTGGCTTCTACTTAGCCACAACCTACTTAAACAGCATGGGCTTACCCCTTAGCTCCAAGCTCAGACATTAATCCGGCCTCTCTGGAAAACCAAAATGCACCCATAAGCAACGTCCTCTCAGCAGGGTCCCTCTCCTCTCTGACCTGGCCCCGAGCACAGCGGCTCTGGGTCGCACACCTGGCTTTCCTCCAGTGAGTCCTGTGATCTTCGACAATATAACTCCTTTAAGTTTCAGTTTCCTTTCTGATAAGATGGAGACAAATATAATCATGGGCCACTCTGATCACAAGAGGTGCTCTATGGAATAGAGACCCACTGTTGCACTTTTCAAACAGCGGGTATTGGTCACCATATCACTTGAAAGACTGATGTTAACCCAAGTCCACAGGCCGGCACAGTGGTGCCTAACAAGGCAGAGGGAACCCTGCCCTGGGAGTTCCCCGGGGCCGAGACCGTGCTTTCAAAGTCAGAGCCCAGGTGCAGCGAGTGAGCTTTCAAAGAGACAAGTATAGAAACATCTTTTCATCCACCAGCAAGGGGTGGGGAGGGAGCATTCTGTTTCATTTACAAAATGCATCTCTGTAAGCCTGTTCCTCAAAATGTGGTCCATGGACCACCCATGTAGGAAAAAACCTGGCAAACTTGCTAAAATGCAGATTTTTAAAAATACATATTTATTTATTAAATTGATTGGGGGTGACATTGGTCAACATGAACATACAGGTTTTAGGTGTGGGTTTCTATGACACAAGATTTGTATATTGCATTGCATGCTCACCACCCAAATTCAAATCTTCTCCTGTCACCTTATATTAGGACCCCCTTCTCCCCCCACCCCCTTTCATCTGGCAACCACCACACTGCTGCTTGTGTTCATGCATTTCAGATTTGCAACAACATGGATGGACCTTGACAACATTGTGCTAAGTGGGATAAATCAGTCAGGAAAAGCTAAGAACAATATGATTTCACTCATGTGTGGGGTATAAAATGCATATCTTTGAGCCCTAGCTCAGATCTCCCAATCTAGATGCCCTGGGGGTGATAATTCAAAAATGCTGACCACTGTTCCTGCTAGGCCGGTAGACCTGTAGGAATGATCATACCTGGAACATATGATACATAAAACACACACAAAGAGGCATGTAAAAGTATTCGTGGTGGGTTTAAAATCTATGAATAATCTAATTCCATTTTTATTAAAAATATATTTATATACATTGTATAGCTATGCTTAGGGCAAGGACTGGGAGCCTATGCATCCCAGGCAACAATGGCTGTGTCTAGCCCAGCCATGGGCAAACTATGGCCTGCAGGCCGGATCCGGCCGTTTGAAATGAATAAAACTAAAAAAAAAAAAAAAAAAAAAAAAAAAAAGACCGTACCCTTTTATGTAATGATGTTTACTTTGAATTTATATTAGTTCACACAAACACTCCATTCATGCTTTTGTTCCAGCCCTCCGGTCCAGTTTAAGAACCCATTGTGGCCCTCGAGTCAAAAAGTTTGCCCACCCCTGACTCTAGCCGGTAACATTATCTGTGATTGAGCTCATTTTGTGCTTTCATAATTTTTTAAATGTTCTACAATTTTTAATATTATCTTTTCAACAAGGAAAAACAAAGTACTTTTAAAATAAAAGCAATGAAGCCAGATGCGCAGCACTGAAGACTTCCTGAAATCTTACAGATGTCAACCCAGGTATTTCTCACTAGAGATGATGAGACAGGCCTAGAGGAGGGAAGTGACCTGCCCGGGGTTGTCCAGCCATTTAGTGGCTGGCTATGCCAGACTCCAAGTCTCAGGCTCTTAGACCGGAGGGCTCTGAAGTGCTTGGTGCTGGCCAGGGACCTGCCTCCCTTCCTTCCAGGCCCACGAGGGTGACGGAAAGACCACAGGAAGTGCAATGATTCCGCGGGTGGGGAAGGATGTAATAGCCTTTGCAGACAGAACTGTGCAGCCCTCGTTACTCTCTCTCTGGGAGTTAGTAGGTCATTTGCAAAAGGCATGGGAAGAGCAGCTGATGAAAAGGTCTAATAGTTTGGAAAACTGCTTAACCTTCCTGCTCTATTTCTGGATTTTCAGGGCCAGAGACTGTTGAGATCCTGATTTCCCTCAGAGGTTTTCCTGTTTAGGAATGCAGTGAAACCTCTGAAATCCAATTGAATTGGGAGCAGCGGAGCTGGGATTAGGGAACGGTCGGAATACTTTTAAAAAACATTCAGGTCTATTGTTTTCAAGGACATAGAATTCACAGACTTGAAAGGAGCTTAGTCCCGCTCCTGCTCAGTGCAGGTACTCCGTGTGCTTCATCCTGCACTGAACTGCAATTGGGCTTCCTTGAATGCTCCCAACGACAGGAGGCTCACTATGCTGATAGGTAATCTATTTCACTCTTGGAAAAGTCTTTCCTTCACCTGAGCTGGAATCTACCTTCCTCTGAGGTTCTGCTTGCCTTCTGGTTTTCATATAGAACTGAAAAGCTCTTCTTCCTCCAATGGTTTGAAAATATCTGAAGGCAGTTATCATGTACCAATAGTCTTTTTCTGCAGGCTGACCACCACCAGGATATTCAACCATTATTTATATGATAAATGTGATCAACTCTAATTAAAAATATAAACTGCTGTCTCTACTTAGCCTCTATATCTATATCAATATTTATATCTATATATTTATGTCTATCCATTTCTATATCTATATCTATATCCATATCCATATCCATATCTATCTATCTATCTATCTACCTCGATATCGCTATAGATATGGATATTCAGAGAGCTTAGAGACCACCTGCGCAGGCCATTTTATAGATCCAGGCTTCTTTTCACCTCACCTTGGCTCCTATTATTCATAAGACACCCGTACTTCTCAAGTTCTTGAAAGTGCTTGGGAAGTTTGTTCTCTTAGGTATGTCAAAAATGCCTCTTTCGCATTATATTTGCACAGTCAGTGAGGTAGGGATTAGAACAGAGCTGCATTTAGTGTACGTTACATTGTTGATGAAAAGTCTCATTCAAAGTGCATTGACCCTCCTTGCTCTTTGCTGTCAGGTCACCTGTCTCCCTTGCCCAGGATGATACTTCAGAATGGATAACACACTACAGGGCCACGCAGGTCTGCACATTTCCCACAAGGTTCAGCTAAGTGCTCAGTTTAGGAGACCTTTCCAGCCTGGGAACGAAAAATGAAGTTGCCAGGACCTGAGGCGGGCTGTGCTTCTGCTTTAGCCTGTGCTTGTTTAAAAGTTTCACATCCTCTTTTCAGTTTGGACTAATTCTCTGATGAAAAGACAAAGCAAAGATTCAGAGAAGCGAACTGGGCATGCCAGTGATTGGTTTCCTGTCCCAGTCCCCAGCAGCCATGCAGTCACATGCTTCGGAGGGAACATTCCTCCGTGCCCCAGCCCACAGCACTCTCCTCTTCTCTCAACAAGGTATTGCATTTCCAGTTCTTACACTTGTCCTGGCACAGCAGACAAGCTGCCTCATGCTGCTTCCTGGTTTGCATGTGTGCTGGGCTCCATGGGTGCTGGACTCACATGGTCCTGGGTTCCAGTCCTGACTCTGCAGCTGGCCAGCTGTGTGGCTTTGGAAAGTTCCTGAACCTTCCCGAGCCTCCGTTTCCTCATTTGTTAGATGCGGACAATTATGCTACCTACATCAGAAGGCTGTCAAGATGACATAATGCCTAAAAAGGTGCCTAGCACAGTCCCTAACATTCAGCAAGATTCCATCAAAGGATCTGTTTAATATTATTAATATGATGCTACAGGAGGCAGAGACTGAACCCTATATTTTTCTCGTACTGCACACAGTAGATGCTCTATACTAGCCCCCAACTGATTCCGGTCTAGGCTTCCTTAGGCAGTAGGTTCACCGGAAACATTCTAAGCATCTTGTAATGACAGTTCCTATTTCCAAGCTCCTTTTCCCCAGATTCCCTCCCCCAGTAACGATCTGAGAGTGGGGAGGGGGAGGGGGAGGGGGAGGGGAGACCCACCCTGTCCCGCCACTTTGCACACCTGTCAACTTGCATCTCAGGATAAGGTTCTCATTTGACAGACTCCGAGGACTTGCTGTCCAGGCAAGGAAAACTTTATGACCATGAAGCCAACACAGACCTTATGTAACCAACCTGTCAGCAAACAGAGGCACAGAGGGACGCTGGCAAATTCCTGCCCCAAAAGAAACAAATCAAAACAAAAGGAGGTAGAAAGCAAGGGACTGAGACATGCCTAAAATGCTCTTGCTTGTCAAGACCCTTAAAACTGATCAACGCTCTTAAAAGTATTCTTCAAAGGACAGGAATATGGCTAAACTCCTTTTTGTCGGGGGATCTAAATTAACATTCATAGCTGAACTTCTAACTGACATTACATCAGATGCTCCTCTAACCAAACTAGCATGTATAGTATAATTTCCTAATTGCTGACCGATATCTGCTGAGGACTCTTGCTGAGTCAAAGAACATTCTTTCTCTTGTTCCCTACGGCAGATGGTTTGTTTATTGCCTGAATTTTGTGTTAATAATTTTGTGTAAAAGCAATAAACACCCCCCATTGAGATGAATTTGTTATGTGACAGTCCCAGATCAAAGCCTCCACAATGGAGGGTAAGGGCAGATTTCAATGGGCATGTGGTGGACAGGATACACCAGTTCCCGGACCTCCTGACACCCTGGCTGTAGCCCCGTCTCTCATGTCCTTGGCTTCTTACCTTGAGCAGGTCATTCCCCCTTGTAGGCTTTTGGTCTCTGCCGATGTAGAATGCTTTCTATGGGCTCTTCCAAGTCCGAGATCCGTGAGGCTACGAGGAGTGGGGGGTTAGCTGGAGAAGCTGCCTGCATCTCTAGGTGTGGGGCCCAGAGCAGGAGAAGGGGAATGTGATAACAGGTATGAAAGCCTTTGGAGAAAGAGGAAAGGTGCTGAATGGCAGACACTCTCCAATTCTCCACCGTCTGTTCCAAAATCATAGGCACCCAACTTTCTCCCGAGAGCTCAGCGCTCACCCAGACACCCATCACTGAACTGACAGGAAGCAGAAGGGGCCAGTGCTTTTCTGGTTGGGGACCGTGGCTGGGACAGAGGGAAGAGAAACGTGGAATCAGCTTTATAAGCAAGTGAAATGGCAATGAACCCTGCAGGCTGATCTCCAGGCTAGCGTTGCCAAGGAGGACGCTCCACCCGGTCAAACCTGGGCCAAGCCCTGGCTCAGACACACAGGCAAAAATAGAAAGGGGGTGAGAGAAGAAATGTGTTTACTTTTGTGATTTTCCCTCATGCGCCTTCTAACAGCATTATCTCTCCACAAACAGGCAGTAACAGCTCCCAGGCCTGGCTTCCATTGATAAACCCTCCCGGACAGTTCAGCCCATAGTCAGTATCTGGGCAGCTGGAAGGTGAGCTCGGAAGGCAGCAGAATGGAGTGGACAGAGCACTGGCCCAGGGTCTGTCCCTCACCGGTGAACCATGAAAAATCCTTCCCTGTGGCTGCACAAAATAAAGTGCTTACATCAGACAGAATCTAGAAATCGGTTTAGATTTTTGAGTTACATCTGTGGCTCTCTCCCAGGGGCAATCTCACCCCCTCGAGGGGTTTTTGGCAATGTCTAGAGACATTTTTGGTTGTCACAACTCAGAGGGTGTTACTGGCATCTCATGGGTAGGGGCCAGAGATGTCAGACAATGAATAGGACATTCCCCCACCGCAGACAACTACCTGGCCCAAAGACTAGCTCTGAGGTTGAGAAATCTTGGTTTATATTAAAGTGAGAAGAGTGTTAGAGAGAAGGGAAAGGGGACAGAAGTAAAGAAAGAGGAGGGGTTAGAACCCTGTTTCTAGGTCATGGGGTGTTCATCAGCTAAGTGGCTTCCAGCTTTTCTCCCTCTGACCTATGTCCTTTCAGTTTCCCTTGAAATTACGAGGTTAAGTTTAGTAGTTGTTTTTTGTTTGTTTGTTTGTTTTTGTTTTACATTAACTTCTGACTTATCCCTCAAATGCCAAGCCCTGGTGCAGCACAAAGATCCCCACTCTGAGATACGGCCAAACAATAAATATAAGCAGCTATTAAGCAAGTAGAACTAGAAGGTGGGTGGTGGGGGTGCACAAAGGGACACAACAGATGCTCCTAACTCCATTTCCATGAGTCAGTGTTTCTGATGTAACAACAAAGAGTAATCACCATAGGACCAGCGAGACGAGCTCAGCTGGGAGCAGGCAGAACTGATCTGGCGCCCCAGCATCAGGAGAGACCAAGGTTGCAGGCGACAGAATCAAAGGCCAGGGAAAGGGTTAAGCAATCAGGGCATGCCATTCCTGTGCCATTCCACATTAAGTCACCGGGCAGTTATTACAAATAGTTACCTGTGGTTTCCAGCGGGGGAGGCAAGCACATCCAGTCGAGGGGTTTTGGAGAAACAGGTGCAATGAAGTCATGGTCAAACAATTTATTTACTGTAAACTTTAGACTTTGCTCAGGAAAACAACTGAAGCTACCCCTGAAATGCCTGCCCACAACACCCTGTTTCAGCAAATAAGAGGAGCGTGTTCACAGCTGTCAGGTCCAGGCTACTCCGGATCCTCCATCCAAGGGGGCAGGAAGGAAGGTCTCCTTCAGATACACATTACCAGCAGCAATAGATTACCCCTAATACTTGACTGATGAGGTAGATACACAGAAAAGTCATCAAAACATAGCAGCCCCAGGTCCTCTGGGACTGAAGCCCTTCAGACATACGCGGACAAGTTCCATGCAAAGAGGAACTGAACTGTACAAGAAACAACCACTCCAATAAGTGTTCTCTTTTTTACAGCTTACAAAAATAAAAAAAAAAAGGCAGAAGGATGTTCTTCCTCCTGCACATCTCTATACAATTTCATTCTAAATTTATTACACTTAAGTTAAATAGTCTGCTTAGTGTCTTGTCAGGGAAGGGGGTCTGAAAAAGTAGAAAAGCTGCATTAGAGCAGTGAGTCATTTGTACTACAATTCCTCCCTTGTGCATCAATTCTATCATTAGGCACAGTACCTTGATGGTTCACAAAGTCTTCCCTGCCCCGGGCATCCTCGCATAGCAGTTTGCTGTCTTTCTCCTGTCCCAGGTGATATCCACTGGGCTCCCCTGTGTAGTCTTGTGTAGACTTGTCATTGCTATTGGAGTAGCCATTCCCATAGGCCTTCAGAGAAGACCTGCGCAGGCACAGAAGCTCCTGGAAGGCACTCCTGAAATCGGGGCTCCGGCAGTAGATGAGGGGGTTGAAAGCAGAGTTGACGTAGCCCACCCAGTTTAGGAAGATGTAAACGTTCTTGGGGATGAGGTTATCCTGGATCACGTGCACAATGTTGACGATGAAAAAGGGCAGCCAGCACAGGGTGAACGTGCCCATGATGATGCCCAAAGTCTTGAGGGCTTTGTGTTCCTTCAAGCAGAACTTGGAGGACCTGCGATGTCCATGCCCGCTCCTTCCATCCTCCACTTGGCTGAGGTTTTGGGCATGGAAGCGGCCCTCGAATTTGTCGATCCTTTGGAGTTGCCTTTTGGCCACCTGGAAGACCCTGGAGTAGACGAAGACCATGACCACCAGGGGCAGGTAAAAGGAAACGATGGAGGAGGCAATGGCGTAAGCCTGGTTCGTGAAGAAGTCACAGCAGGTCTCTCTGGCATAGCACTTGATGGCGTCTTCGTGGGTGGCCCGGTACCAGTGCATCTTGATGGGCAAGAAGGAGGTGAGGCCTGACACGATCCACACCAGCAGAATGACCACCCGGGCCTTATTCTTGGTCAGCAGGCTCTGGTACTTGAAGGGTGACGTGATGGCAAAGTAGCGATCCACCGCGATCACGCACAGGGTCTCAATGCTGGCCGTGACGCACAGCACGTCAATGGAAGTCCAAAACTCGCACCAGAAATTGCCAAAAGCCCACATTTTCATGAGGATGTGGCTGGCCCCAAAGGGCACCACCGCCAGGCCCATGACCAGGTCAGCACAGGCCAAGGAGGTGATGAAGTAGTTGGTGACCGTCTGCAGACGCTCGAACTTGGCAATGGCTGTGATGACCAGCACGTTTCCAAACACGATGGCCAGGACAATGAGCGACATGAGGATGGCCATGCCCACAACCCACGTCTCGTCCCGTTCCTGCGCGACGTCTTGGCCCGGTGCATGGCTTCCGTTGGACACCAGCAAGAAGACGGTGCGGTTCCCTGGTTGCCCCATGGCGCGCAGGCTGGCAGGTGAGCGCACGGGCTGCGGGCTCACTGGCCGCGCCTCAGAGGGCGGACCTTCGGCTGGGCGCTGCGGCCAGCAACGGGACGCCTAGAAGCCTCATTCAGCAGCCGTGGGGTGGGTGTGGTGGGAGCCCGTCCTGCACTCAGCTTGTGGGGTGCCTAGGGCTCGCGGTGCCCGTCAGTCCCAGCCTGAGATCTAGAGCAGCCGCCTCCAAGTGCGCGCTGCCCGTTATGTGCACAGGGCTTTAGAGGAACGGCCTCCCAGGTGACGTGCGGGAACTTTCCGCCAATGGCTCACCGGCCTCTCCAAAGGGGCGAGGCCCCCACCTCTTCCTGCCCCTCCCCTCCCCTCCCCTCTCCCGCCCCCTCCTGGGGCGGGCCCGGGCGGAGCCCAGCTACTTCGGTCAGGCGGGCGGGCCACCACCCCTCCTGGCTCCCCTGGCTGGCTCCGGAGGGCTGGCCCTGGGGCTGGCACGCTTACCAGCCAACCTGGGAGCTCTGGGCTCTTCTGTGGCTGCTACCTGTCCGCCCTGGGCGCTTGTGGGGACTGAGATCTCAGGTCAGAGGGCGGCACGCGGACACTCCCCCCACATTCGGAAACAGAGGCGAGTGCCCATGGAGACACGCACCGACAGGCACACTTGCACCCCGACAGACATGCTCGGGCTTATACGGAACCACAGCCATAGACTGAGACACACCCGTGCAGCACACCGACAAACACCCTGGCGAGCTCCGAAGCCGACAGGCGCAAAGTCACCCTGCCCAACACAGAGACAAACACAGAAGCACCGAGAAGCAGAAAGGCATGGGCACACACAGAAGTAAACAACAGGCGAGCGCTCACTTGGAGGCGAGCAGAGCGCCCCATCCAGGTACTCCAAACCCCTCACCATGCACCCCTCACCATGCACCCGGACCCCACGCGGTCCCCCTCTCCGTCCCGCGCGCGCACACACACACACACACACACATAGGGACACAGGCATATTCCCTTTCAAACATTTGGCAAGACCTCAGGAGGTGACTTCAACAGCTGCTGATTTCCTCAGCGCGCTCGCTGTCAAGTACTTTGGTGCCCTCCTTGGAAATTTGCAGGCATTGAGACACCGGTTCAGCCTTTGGGTTTCATTTGGAGCTGGAGTGTACTGTATGCATGTGTGTGTTTGGGGACGGGGAGAGAGAGTGGTATGCTTTAATGTTTCATTCTTGGGAGTGTGGCATCACTCCCTCATTTTTCTGTTGGAATGAAAACGCCTTGAATATGGCGTAGTTTTCACTTCAACCTCAACTTCTTCAGTGATCCGTTGCAATTAGAAACATCCTTTCATCTGCTGGGACGTTTGTTGAACTGTTGGGGTGAGGCATTTGAAATTGCCGCTATTCTGTGGCTTCCGACTTTGAAAAATAGCAATTTCAAAGGACTCGGGTTATTACTCTGGCTAGCATTAAGGACGTTTTGCAGGCACAGAAAGCAAAAGATCATTTCTCCTTAAATGAAAATATCAGGCCAAGCTTTCCAACTAGGGTCTTTGTCTATGAAATACAGTACTATCCTTTGCATCTGGTATATGACTTTACTATTAAAAAGAAATTCATTTTTCAGGTTTGATTTCACATGTATTAGTAGTGTGTGTGTGTGTGTGTGTGTGTGTGTGTTTTAAGTATTTCCTACAGTGTAACCAGCATACTTTGTTGATTACATAATAACAACAATGGCTAACATTTATGGAACATTCTGCTATGTGCTTTTCATACATTATTCCATTTAATT